TTTCATTTCATTTCATTTCATTTCATTTCATTTCATTTCATTTCATTTCATTTCATTTCATTTCATTTCATTTCATTTCATTTCATTTCATTTCATTTCATTTCATTTCATTTCATTTCATTTCATTTCATTTCATTTCATTTCATTTCATTTCATTTCATTTCATTTCATTTCATTTCATTTCATTTCATTTCATTTCATTTCATTTCATTTCATTTCATTTCATTTCATTTCATTTCATTTCATTTCATTTCATTTCATTTCATTTCATTTCATTTCATTTCATTTCATTTCATTTCATTTCATTTCATTTCATTTCATTTCATTTCATTTCATTTCATTTCATTTCATTTCATTTCATTTCATTTCATTTCATTTCATTTCATTTCATTTCATTTCATTTCATTTCATTTCATTTCATTTCATTTCATTTCATTTCATTTCATTTCATTTCATTTCATTTCATTTCATTTCATTTCATTTCATTTCATTTCATTTCATTTCATTTCATTTCATTTCATTTCATTTCATTTCATTTCATTTCATTTCATTTCATTTCATTTCATTTCATTTCATTTCATTTCATTTCATTTCATTTCATTTCATTTCATTTCATTTCATTTCATTTCATTTCATTTCATTTCATTTCATTTCATTTCATTTCATTTCATTTCATTTCATTTCATTTCATTTCATTTCATTTCATTTCATTTCATTTCATTTCATTTCATTTCATTTCATTTCATTTCATTTCATTTCATTTCATTTCATTTCATTTCATTTCATTTCATTTCATTTCATTTCATTTCATTTCATTTCATTTCATTTCATTTCATTTCATTTCATTTCATTTCATTTCATTTCATTTCATTTCATTTCATTTCATTTCATTTCATTTCATTTCATTTCATTTCATTTCATTTCATTTCATTTCATTTCATTTCATTTCATTTCATTTCATTTCATTTCATTTCATTTCATTTCATTTCATTTCATTTCATTTCATTTCATTTCATTTCATTTCATTTCATTTCATTTCATTTCATTTCATTTCATTTCATTTCATTTCATTTCATTTCATTTCATTTCATTTCATTTCATTTCATTTCATTTCATTTCATTTCATTTCATTTCATTTCATTTCATTTCATTTCATTTCATTTCATTTCATTTCATTTCATTTCATTTCATTTCATTTCATTTCATTTCATTTCATTTCATTTCATTTCATTTCATTTCATTTCATTTCATTTCATTTCATTTCATTTCATTTCATTTCATTTCATTTCATTTCATTTCATTTCATTTCATTTCATTTCATTTCATTTCATTTCATTTCATTTCATTTCATTTCATTTCATTTCATTTCATTTCATTTCATTTCATTTCATTTCATTTCATTTCATTTCATTTCATTTCATTTCATTTCATTTCATTTCATTTCATTTCATTTCATTTCATTTCATTTCATTTCATTTCATTTCATTTCATTTCATTTCATTTCATTTCATTTCATTTCATTTCATTTCATTTCATTTCATTTCATTTCATTTCATTTCATTTCATTTCATTTCATTTCATTTCATTTCATTTCATTTCATTTCATTTCATTTCATTTCATTTCATTTCATTTCATTTCATTTCATTTCATTTCATTTCATTTCATTTCATTTCATTTCATTTCATTTCATTTCATTTCATTTCATTTCATTTCATTTCATTTCATTTCATTTCATTTCATTTCATTTCATTTCATTTCATTTCATTTCATTTCATTTCATTTCATTTCATTTCATTTCATTTCATTTCATTTCATTTCATTTCATTTCATTTCATTTCATTTCATTTCACTAAATATCACGTCTCTACGACCAAAAGTGTAGACTTGCGTTGACGCACGTTTTAAAATATATTTGTTGTATGAGGGTAGTTTTGAAAAAACAACGCTGATTTTTATTTTATACAGAGTATGTGTGCAAAATTTTAATGAATCCTATGCACTTTTGGATGATCTCCCATACAAACTTTGACATGAAATTTTGTAATTTTTAGAGGGTAGTTGTAAAAATTTTATGTATCCGGCTTAGTGTAAATTTGCAGTCAATAGGTCCAAAGAATAAGGTTTTCCGAACAAACTTTTTTTGAAAATTTCACGCTTAAGAGGCTGATTTTCAAAAAATCCTATCTTATTACTTGTATAGGTAATAATAGGAACTTCTGTCCAAATTTCATCATTCTTTTTTCGTTTCGGCTGTGCGTTGATGAGTCAGTCAGTCAGTCAGTGTACCCTTTTCTCTCTTTATACAATAATAGTATAATAGTAATAGACTACTAGAAAAAAAAAACATTTGTCAAAAGATTACACTATTATGTATTCAACGTGACATTAACTATAGTCAAATTTAACTGTTTCAAACAATGCGCACTTAAAGTTTATAAGAGAGTGTTTATGTTATTTCGTCTCAAAGTATGTATTGTAACTTTGTGTTTTATTATTTAATGGGGGGCTCAAAATTTCTTTGAAATGAGGTAGGTGCACCATCGTTCACGCTTACTATTACAATAAACCACATCGGCACATGCGCAGGCGCCGTTATTTTCCATTTCATACACAAAACCTACCTAACGTTTAGTATTTACCACTCGGGGCCTCTGTTCGGAGAAAACAATACAGAACATTTCTCTCTCTAAAATCATCAACCACCACATTTTCTAGTGCTAAATTTCAAAGCAGTTTCCAGTATTTCCTGCTTTAATGGTCAATTTGAATTTATTTTCGCAATTCTTACGCCAAACTTGTGTTTATGCGAAAGTAACGCACTTATGTTACATACTAGCATGCGTGTTAACTTGAATAAGTAAGCAGCTTTCATCACTTCTTTATGAAGACGAATATGAGAATTATTACAAAAACCGACCGTTACGATACCATGCACCACTAAGTACTCGTACTATACTCGCAACGTTGTCGTAACTGATATAATATGTAGGTTTTTAGATGGTTATTATGGCTTATATAGCCTTTGCAATGGAAAGAAAGATAATACTAGTGCCTACTCTTGAAATATTCTTGAGTTTTTAGTGCGGAACATTTAGAATCTACGACAGGTAATTTTATAAGAAAATTAAGTCATACTATTTTGGTAATGATGGTCAAGTTAAATTATGGACGAATGGGGTATTCTATTCTAGCACGATTCTCCAAACTCTTCAGTGTACATAGTATATGTACTTTTGACTGTGATCAAATTTAGTTTACGGCTTAAAGATGAGCCGATGCCGATAATAGGCTCATTGTAGGATGCGTAGGTAGGCACGTGCGGCAAAAATACACAATTTCAGGCCGAACGCGCTTATTACTTCTAAAAGAATTATGCAGCAGCAACCATAATTCGAACGACTCCGATGCAAATTCTTACGCGCAGTCAGTGGCGGATTAAACGGTGAGAGCGCCGTAGGCAAGCATCTCATCGGCGCCCTTATATTAAAAATAACTCGTACTATAGTTTGACCGAAACCGATCCGGTCGACAAACATTGCAATTGTATCTTTTCCACTGTAAGCAGAGATCAGGTATGATCGACAAGGTTGAGTTGGAGGCGTATTAGTCAGTCCCATCCGTTAAATTTGTCATTTGTATTAAATTGTAACAAATTGAGGTTGCAAGCAAAAATAATAGTTTTTATTGTGTAAGTAGGTGGCTTACTTACTGACCCAATTAATTTTATGCCATATTATATTTTTTCTTTATTTTACAATTCCGTTCGCGCGCCCCTTTTTTACCCTCTCGCCCATAGGCACATGCCTAGTTTGCCTTAAGGAAAATCTGCCTCTGCGAGCAGTGCACACCGAGAGAGGCGCGGCGAAGATAATGAGTTAAACTATATTCCTATATCATAAGTTTAAAAATTTCGTGTCGAACTCGAAACGTGGCTCTTGGTCGCGCTCGGAATGGCCGCACGTAGTATCTTTGCCATGTCTCTCCCGGTGTGCGCTGCGCCTTAGATATAATGTCTCTACGCCACCCGGTGGTGGCGTCATGCGTTTTCCTAACGTTAAAAAAGGATTCTTAGATGTTTTTGTTGGCATTATTGCCTACCGTTTTCCCATAATGCCAACAAAAACATCGGATGCGTGCTACCTAACGCACTGGCCAGGCAACAGACCAAGAAAATGAATCACACGCCATTTTCGTGGTTATATCGCTATGCGGTTACAACACGGAATGGTTTTAATAGTTAAGTTTTAGTGCGGCCGCGAGTAGCTGCGACCAAATCACCGATTAAACATTGATTCACGCTTGTTATCGTTAGGAATTTCGATTTCCATTTTTCGCACTTTTAAGTTTTGGGCAAGTTTACTGTTAAAATTAGTTGTAATTTTGTGACGTAGACAAAGACGGGTGGCGCCCCATAGCTCAGTACCATTACACCGTGTGGCCGGATCACGGCACGCCGCGCTGCGGCATCCTTTGGCGGTGTTGCCCTTTGTGAGGGCCGCCTCCGCCCAATGTGTTGACAGTTCTACACCAATGGATTTTTGTAACATAACATAGATTATGTAGTTTTACAGCATAAACCATGTGTTTAATCTTAATAGGTACATCTTTCTAGAGGCATATAGTTCTAATTCATATTTAAAATTTAATACGCACATTATGTATTCTACTACAATACACGACACTACCTGTGAATATTTTTGCTAACTTATTTTTACCTTCAATCCAACAGTGGCCGCCCCAAAAATTTCTCCGAAGCTATCTTTTCTTAACACATTAATAAGTAATCTGTCTATCCTCCTATATGTATAAGTAAGTCTTAGTTAAAATTAATTCAAACCTTTGATATGACTTATATTTTTATTAAGTACTCGGAAAGTCTGTGAAACGTGATAGAAAGACTACCTTCTTATCATAAAGTTATAATAACGATGTGATATAGGAATGAGATCTTTTAATTCCTTGCTTTTCATTCAATGAAAGACACCTAATCTTCTTCCAGATGGTGACGTGTGAAACTGAGAGCGCGGCACTGGGCGGTTTCCGGCTGGGCGCGCGCGACGACGACTCACGGTCGCGCCGCTCGCGCGCACCCAGCGTGTCCTCCGTGTCGCTCTACAAGCAGAAGATAGACGCGCTGTTCGACGACACGCGCTCGGTCGCCAGTCTGCCGCAGTATCAGCACATGACCGTGTCGGAACTGGGAAGACGAGACAGCAAGGTAGGAACAAACAAAGTACTCAATTTACTTTCCATTAATTCTTGATCTAAAAATCTGTAAGATTAAAAAAAATAAGTAATTAATTAATTTACTTTGTAATGTAGACGCTCATCATCGATTCATATTATGTAGTTTTTTTATAAAAGTAATTATTCTTCTACTTCATTGAAGTGCATGCAATGAACCCTGAACGCTTCCATTTATGTAAAATAATTGTTAGTAATAAACCATTTGGTCCGCTATTTCAGGTCAGTTCAGCGCGAGATAGCAAAGAGACCATATACGAAGATGACGACGACTACTGTCAAAACAAAATTAACAAGATCAACAATACGGTGCAGGATCGCATAGAGAGGATGTTCGCAGACATGGCAGGCGAATCTAAGCAGTCTGCAGATAACATTGGAGTCCACGTATTCAACGTTCACTACCTTGGTTCGACGCCACTGCAAGACAAAGTCACCAGCTTATCTGGACTACAGAAGCCACTGAAAGACTTATATTTTGCATACAGAAGAAATTACCGCCATAAATGCACTTTCGCTGGTCGACTAGAAATTTCTAAATCTGGACTCAAAGTAAGATACAAAGGAGACAAAGGTGATTTAGAGCAATTAAATCCTTTCCCAACGATAGCAGTCTGGTCAGCTGTAAAGTTCGTTGTTCAGCCTTCAGAACATGAATCTCAGGATCTCAGCTATGCATTCCTGCCCTTAATTACTGATCCAGACAATATTGACCGTCATGCTTTATTTCGAATGTTAGAAGTACCAGACAAAAAGTACATCCTCTCCCACAACGAAAATTCTCATTCTCCTCTTTTCGCTGTTGTGATGAGGAAAATTGGTGTCGCTAAGCAATTGGAGTGTCATGGGTTTGTATGTCAGACGACAGAAGACGCTATTGTTATAGCAGCTACGCTATACAAGTCCCTCATGTCACATATGAGTCGTCAGGGCCATATCGATAAAAAGAAATTGAAGAACCGAAATGGAGTAAGCTGTATGAGCATTACGAGTAGTCTGTCGCCAAATGATATTCCTGTGAGACCACCTCGTAAGAAACGTAGTACATCTTCCATGAGTGGAGATAGTGATAGGGCAGATGGTTACTCTGCCAGTGAATCATTTAGTGAAAGACCCAAATCAGAAAGGACTAAAAAAATCTCATCAGAGAGTTTACCTCAGCTTCCACCGCCTCCATCCATTATGCCTCCCGCCGAAGCCAAAAGAATCACAGTTGAAGAAGTTAAAGCTAAGCTAGACTCAATTAAACATAATGACACAAGTGGAAGTGATACACAGGGATCGAGAAAATCAGTACAGAAAAAATGTCTAAATCCAAGTATAAGTAAACTCCAAAATCTTCAAATTTCTCATAGTAGTAATGAATCGTCGGTACGCAGTAAGGTGTCTGAGAAAATAGAACTATTTCGAGAGTTAGAAAGACGAAAAAATCTACAGAGACCTCCAACACTACCGCCTCCAGTTCCTACTAAGCCTGCTTTGGATCCTCCCTCAGAGCCTGTGAAAGAGCCTTTAAGAAGAACCCAAAGCGGAAGGAAGTCCATAAATGAGTCTGGGGATATATTAACTAAAGTGGCTATTCCACGTTCCGGTAGCTTCCTCAATGCCGGCGGACTTACGAGGTACAAGTCGATTGGACAAAGGTACGTTTGATTACTGTTAATTATTACTGCATGCCTAACAGACTGTGGTGCGTTCCGCACTAGCTATTTTTTTTTACGAGTGAGTAATATAGTTTTCCTTTTCATCAAATGTGGCCTGCTGACATTCCTAGACTCGTCTACTCGAACAGTAAGATGATAACTAAAATAACTTGCTAACAAGATAGGAATGGAACGCGCTTAGTGAAGTGTTTCACCATCTTGCATGCAAGTAATTGTACTAACGCAACCGAGACTGTAACATTCCTTTGATCCAATGTAACACCTGTGTTTTTTTATACCAATCATCGCTATTACATGTACTTAATATTATATTGCTTAACCTAATGGATCTCGCTAAAATAATATTAGTTCATCGCACAAAACATAATTAGATCTTCTATTTGTGTTTTAGAAACAACGGTAAGAAGGGAGGTGGCTCACCGTTAGGGTTCAACGAACTTTTCAATGAATTCAAAGTTCAGGAGAACTTACACTCTATGGATGAAATCCTTAACGCCATAATAGACGCAGAAGGGATGTCCTTCAACGACCTAAAACCGATATATAAAGAATTTCTCTTAAAGTTAGCAGTTACTTTAACGAAAGACGAAATATTTCAACATAGTAAAGCGATAATGAAGAAGCAGAAAAAGAAAATTTTAAGAAGGAACAGTATTTTTCAGAATAAGAGAAGAAAAATTTTTAAAGGAGCAAGTGGCCTTCGAATGGTTTTCAGAATGCCATTTGGAAAAGATATCCGTAAAAAAGAGAAGAAACAGCTCTCGTCGTTGGATTTTCAAAATGTGGCTAGTAATAAAGAACCTGTATCTGAAAGTTCAGTATCTACATCGAGCTATGATTTAAGACAATTTCGTCCCAAAGAACCTATACCACCGCCGAAAAGACAAGTGTCTAGACAACGGAATTCCAAGCGATCAGATAAGATGGTTCATGCTTCGAAACGAAATGGCAAGGCGTCGAAGCCCGGAGAAAGGACTTCTGCATCCGAAGATTCGGATTTTCTAACTCTTAGTAATAGACTAGGCTGTCAAAACAGAAATAGTTCCAGTGGATACGTATCATGTTCAGAATGTGAATCAGAAAGCTGTGTTGACCGTTGCTATTGTTCTTTAAAAGGTGATGAATTTAAATCAAAATGTTACTGCTCTGCAGTGGAAGATAAAGACCCGGCAAAGTTACGACTGTTCAATAAAAGTAAAAGCTGCAAAGATTGTTCAAGGTACAATTTTGATTTACATTTACATAATAAAATATATAAGTTAAACATAGTCATAAGTATGTAGTTAACATATTTGTTTCTAAACCTTCACCGTCGTATAGGTAGAGTTCATTTTGATTCAGAAAATTCTCTGCGGTATCTGAGATTGATAAAAGTTCATTAACATTTTAAGTTTTCTCGTCTGTTTAATCATCATTATGCGCATTGTTATTATCAACGAAATTTCTGTTTACTTCCAAATTTCTCTACTTTCATTCGTCTACGTTTTACATTTCATTTAGTTTTAATAGAGGCGCATCTCGGAGAAATGAGTGTCTTTAATTTCATTTACAGATTTGTCGTAGATCTCTCTGGAGGAATTTCTGCCTTGTTTAGTGTTATTTATGGTTCATTATAAAATAATTCTTGTTTCTTGTAGAAATGAAATGTGTGCGGTGATTATTAGAGCGTGGCGCGTCCATAGCTCGCGACGCCTCATGAGTAACTAAACTAAATTATAATTATTTACAGTTGAATATGTATTCGTTTTTCTTCTGTGATTATGTTTATAACCATCTATTATTGATATTTTTATTGCTTTTGTGGATCTCTTTACATATCTTTTTATCTCATCCCCAAATAATCACAAGGATAACTGCATAAAAAATAAATAAATCAAATTGATAATATAAGCATAATCTTTAAGCTGCTTATTTATTGAATTATTTTCACCAATGACATTAAAACGTCTCTCTTAGCATACGAGTAATTTACTAACCGTTCAAAAACATACAATTAGGTATATATGTATAATAAATAAGATATATTTATCAATATTTTACTCAAAATTATTCATTGCATCGCATTCATCGATATCGTTCCTGAATATTCTATACTACTCCTTCATAATGACGAGAGCTAAAAAAGTTATTTACTATGTAGAATTTCTGTCTCAGGTATTTTAAGAGCAATTAGCATGACGACGATTGAATCAAGTTATTATAGAGAAGACCTCTATTTGTTTTTAGTTCCTAATTAAAAACTTTTCAGACTAATCTATAGTGGTGGTACTCGTATATTAGTGTGCAAAAGATGTTCATCATATGATTTAAACCTAAATAAATGTACTTAAAATTTATTTGTAATTATTATGTTTCCTTCAGGGAGATGTACGACGGTGACTTTTCTTACTGTTCGTGCGATTCGGAGAGCTGTGCTGATAGTAATAAGTGTTACTGCGCTGGCCCAAGGCACACTACTATGCAAGCATCCCAGAGCTTGGAGTACCTGCGCAGTCCCTCACAAAAAACTTACTCTGACAAGATGAAGAAGGCTTTCGACGAGTACGATGGGCAAAAGGTTAACAGAAGGTAAACATAATAAATATAAATAAATAAATATTTTCAGACTCCCTTCACGAGTCGGTAGTCATTTGGGACCATGCCCAGTGGTCCTGATGGGGACATGGAATTAATAAATTATTTTGAGGTGGCATTTAGCCTAGTCCCAAAGTAAGCACTGTAAGGCTTGTGTTCCCATGATACTGGGGTAATGGATAGAATACAAATAAGTATATTTATATAGAAATACATATTAAACATCCATGACTGGAGTACAAATGCTCGTATTCATCACACAAACATCTGCCCCCACCGGGATTCGAACCCGGTACCTCTCGAGTCGGTGACACCATGAAACCCGGCGTACAAACCACTCGGCCACGGAAGTCGTCAATAAAAAAATGATAAGTAAATAAAATATTTAAAAAAAAACACGACTGCCCTGCTAAAATACGAACGTCCTTGCAGTCGAGTAAACGTTCCGTAGAACACTTCTCAACCTAACCCGTCGTTTACACCAAGGTATAATGCATGTATTTAAGAAGTTATATACAATCTCTTAACTTTTGTTCTTACAATCTGTTAGATATGCTTTATATATGTATACATGTTTTATATATATTTTCACATTTTCAATTCAATTTATGTGAAGTAAATGAGTGATTTATATTTGTCAGATACTAGTTGTTTATCCAATGCAAACGAAAAAATGTTTTAAACAACCATAACAAGTATTCTACAAGTTTTGTGGAAAACTGGTTTATCACTTGTTTCTTGGTGTAAACGAGAGGTAAGAGGTTGCAGTCAAACACGAACCCTGAAAATACTTGTTACCTCAGTTCACTGCTTTTAGGGCAGTCGTGTGACAATTGATATGAAATCTGGGATGACATTTGTAGACATCTAAAAGACCTTTTATTGCTACATTAACGTGTTCTCCAATGATTATTATGTTTGTCTGTTGTATTTCAGATCAAGTGCATCAAGTCGCCGACGGGAAGACCGCAGCAGACGCGCGCGCAGCTCCGATAATCTCGCACTCGACTACGAACTGCTGTTGCAGAATAAAGCACGAGACACTCGAAGCAGGAATATGCAGAGATTAACTGGTGAGAGTTTGCCATTTTAGAATTCAGTCCAGTATACCAGAGACCCGTTGCCTTGAGGGTTGGCAAACGGCGTCACGTTTACGATACTGTATTAGGTATTTAAAATCTAGGCCCCGGACCTAGACGAATGGAAGCAATTTCATAGCGCCTGTAAGTTCAGTTATCTTCTCCAACATCTTTGCGCTCGACTACGAACTGCTGCTGCAAAATAAGGCACAATACATTAGAAGCAGGAATATGCAAAGATTAATTGGTAAGATTGCCACCAAATCAAAAGACTTCTCCTAGTGACGACGCTTTTACGACCGGAGACCCTTAATCTTGAAAGCTGCCAAAAAGAGTCTCGAATGAATCTGTTCTATTTATAATTTGGATTTATAGGGGATTATATACATGCTTCCATAGCTTTAATTTATATAACTTAAGACTAAGTGCCTGGCAGCCTGCGTGCGCATCTACGACAGTCTCACACTCGACTAGGAACTGCTGCTACAGAATAAGACTGGACACTAGAAGCAGGCATCTGCAAAGATTTATTGGCAAAATTGCTACCCTAGAACTCAGTACAGCAACGACTAGAGACCCGTTGTCTTGAAGGTTGCAAAACGACGATTGCTTGTAACGACATTAATCTGTTTATACTTTAGGCCTCAGATTAAAACAGGTTTGCATGCTTCTAATGCGCAAACTTATAGAATTTGAGACTAGGGGCCTGGAAGAGCACAGTCGTCGTGCTTCTAACTAGGACAGCCACGGCTCGACTACGATATCTGCATATATATGCAGAGTAACCCAGTGAGATTTCTATCCTCGAACTCAGTGTACTCAAGAACAGAGAATTGCTGCATTTAATGGCCACTATGGTATATAAAGCCGCTGCATTCATGCAACGGGCCGTGGCCAAGCCAAGGTGCGGCCGATTTATTTTCGAGCGTTGTCTGTTGCTCGGCCGTCATTCGGTTGCTGCTCGGTATAGCGTGAGTGCATTCATATAAGATGTAGCTAATTAGTTGACCGTGCTACGGCCGATATTGGACCCGACACAGTCTAGCGTGAGTCAATCTTTAATTTTGCGAAACGTTTCATTATGATCTTTTAACCAATCTTCGTTTACTTCCAGTTCGCAGCACAGGGGCGGGTTCCCACGACGCGCTTAGTGTGAAGAAGTCCGCTGAGATGGCGGCGTTGTTCGCGGACGTGCGACTGTCGCAGCGGACCGACGTGCGGTCGTTAGCAGCGGCGGCGAGCGGGGGGAGGCGGTCGCGCCCACCCCCGCTGCCCCCCGCGCCGCCGCGCGCCGCACCGCAACTCGCGCGGTTGTTCGACCAACGCCCGCTCAGTCGCAACGCCAGTTTGGAGGATACGCTAGGATATTTACCGTAGTTACGCATCGAATTTCTTATGTCTACGGGTTGGGTCATAGCGGCCGTGCGACGCGCAATACCTTGCGCACTTGTTCGACCAAACGCCCGCACAGCTGAAACACCAATCTGGAAGATATGCTGGGATATTAACCCTAGATCCACATCTAACATTTATGTGTATGTGTTGGTACCATTATGGGAGGAGACGGCCACGCCTGGGCCGTATCTCGCGCGCCTGTTTGACCAGCGTCCGCTCAGTCGCAAATAGCCGCAATGCTAGTCTGGAAGATATGCTGGGATATTTTCCTTAAATCCGCATTTAACCCCTGTGTGTGTGTGGGTTGGGGCCTCTATGGATGTCTTGCGCCACATCTTTCCCGCATTTTTGACCACCGCCCAGCCGCTCAGTCGCAACGCCAGTCTGGAGGACACGCTAGGATTTATCTGAGTTTCGCATCTTATATCTACTAACCTAAAGAAGGATGGCAATTTAAAGACGCTGAAGACATGACTGATGACTAACATAACAGACGGTCCAGAATCAGTTTGAGACACATTGAGCCTTAGAAGTAATTTCCTATCTACATCTTCACGTAACGACGTCGTTAACGTGGATCGGTGCAGTTACGGATCGGTGCGGCACTGTGCGTTGACATAACGTGCAAATTGACGACCAGGTTTGCATGTTATGACAACCCACCGTGCAACATTACCGCGCCGTTCCACGTTGACGACGTCGTGACGTGGAGATGTGGACAAGCATTTAAGCACAATTCTTATATGCTTTATTCCACTTTTATTTAATATGATTTGATTTGTATTCGAATATTCTTTACTTAATTGATTCGATTTTATTTTTCGAAAACGAGGACTGAATTCTGTAGAAACTTTGTATAAAATGTTTTTTTTATTGTTACATTAATATGGATTCTACCTAAAAGTAAATAATTTTATTTTATTTTCTGAATATAAACGTATACCACCTTATTCAATATAATAAGGATTTTAAGTATATCGATTGTACGTAACGTAAAATTTATTATACCTACTATGTATGTAGTTATTTATTGTCGAAAATAACCTTTATTATACATAGGTAAAGTTAAATGAGTCACTCTTAGATAAAATGTACATGTACTTTTAAAAATCTCATTTATTATTAGAAATTCGTTGTATAAAAAGCTATGAAACGGTTTTATAATGTATTTTGCAAAGGTTATAAAGTGGTAGTCGGTGTCCGGCAGCAATGAAACATATATCATTTGAAAGCTTATTTAACCAAATAATATGAACAGATATTTTTTATTTAATTTTAAATCGTGTTTGAAAATTTAACAATGTTATAATGATTCTGGCAACCCAGTCATAAGTCGCGTCATATTTTTAGTCTGAGGCAGCTTATAACGTCAACTCAATCACTGTGTTAAATGTCAAGCAGCCCAATCATGCATTTTATTCGGAAATTCTGGTGAAATTATTATATCAATATATGATTGATTCTTTATAAAAAAAAAACCCACAAAATATCTAATAATGTAATGAAAGATGAACAGAATGATTTATCAATGCTTAAGTTACATATTGAATAGAATATATTTGATGTTTTGCCAATTAATAATAATATCATTTTATATTATAATCTTTATTCATGATATAACATATTAATTACAATTTTTAAATATTAATATAAAAACATTTAAAAATATAAAAAATAGAAGCCAACTGGCATCGGGAACAGGGTCCTAGTTACCGGTGGTTAGGGCACCAGAGAAAGGAACCTCCTCACTATGCGAGCCGTGTCAAGGAGTACTGCCTTCTGCATCAGGCTATTGACTCAGTGATCAACCTCTGCAGATGGCAATCGAGGCTCTTGGCTGTCAGGTCATTGACCGTTACAATATTAAAATATCACACATAATGACACAGACCCACAATAACAAAGTTCCCTGCGCGAAAGATCAGACTACCTGAACCCTATGTTTTCGGGGTCGCTGAGTCCAAATATGGGCCAGAATAGCGAAATTGGTACGCGTTTTTTCAGAAATCAGCAAAAATGCTGTAAATTCAAGTTTTCCGTATAATATGTTTATGTTGTTAAAAAAACTCAAACCAACTTCGCTATTCTGGCACCATATTTGGACTCAGCGATCCCGAAGACATAAAGTTCAGGTAGTCTGGTCTTTCGCACAGAGTAGTTATTTTTTGTGGGCCTGTGTAATTATTTAAAAAAAATGGGGATAAAATAAATTCTAGTTTTTTGTCAAACGATTTACAATTGTGTACACTGCATGTCATAAAAATTTGGAGTCTGCCGGAGACTGACCCTCCATACAAACTTAACCGTGGTCTTTGTTATACAGTAAAGGTTCCTTTTATTTAATATTTCTTAATCAATCCTTTTTATTTCGATTAGATCTGCGAATAAAGAATTTTTGTGTCGCGAATATAGGAATTCAGTCAAAAATTTTTAGTCCGCGAATAGTGATACCGCTAATATAGGAAGCGTGAATAAGGAGCTTTTACTGTATATAAAAATTGCAACCAAATATTTTGCCTAATAAAATTGTATGTTACTGGCAATGATTCACTTTTGGTTGTTTACTAGAAGACACTTAGATGTTGAGTTTATTCATACAATTTGCTTTTGCTAGAAATTTATTAAGAGTTTTTTTTTAAAAGACAACCAATAGGCACATGTTCTTCAATAGGCCGGAGTGGCCAAGTTGCCACAATTGCTAGATGGTGTCGTCCTATCTAGCGGTTTATTTTTAATTCATGTCCAGGGTTATGGCATATTTATTTCTTCATATATTTCGCAGGTTTTGAAACACAATGTTGTTTTTAACTGAAAACAAGTTTCAATGTTTTCAGATTATGACTGTATCTTGCTGCATCTGTGGTAGTTAGCAGTCCCTCATTCGATCTGGGCTCGATATATGCCGAAATCGATTTAAGTTAATATGCAAAATTTGGACAAATAATAATTATTTGGTGTTCATTATTAAAATCTTGTTTCATAGTGAAGTTAAGGTATTTGTTTTTTGTAGATTCTTAAGAACGTACCTATATTATAAGATTAGCTTTACTACTCATTTGTTGATCTTATACCATACTTATCTACCAGTCAGTGGATCGTGCAATCTTGGTGCAATATTTTATGATGTTTTTTTTTTTAAGTTTGTTAGTGCTGGCTCACTCGCCAAGTGCAATATTACGCTGTAAATAGTTTTTATTTAAAAAATAAACTTTGAAAATGATTTTTTTATATTTTATTTTTTAAAAAATCATTTAATCTGCAACTTTTGCAATGGACAGAGATAAATAGTAGACTATGCGGAATAGGCCCACTGCGGAATCGGCCCAGTACGGACGAACCCGGTCCATCGCCACCGCTTCTGGTCCATTGTACACAAATAGTTCATTAAATTTTAATTCTTTTTTTATTTTAAGGTAGAAACATGGCTTAGGATGCAGTGCTTCCCACGAACACTTCATATTATATAAACATAACTTTCCAAGTATGTGAAATGGAAAAAAATATACTTAACAAGTGATGCTTAAACAGCTTCATAAAAGGTGTGCAAATGTTTGGAATGTTGATTGACAAATATGGATAGTAGCGCGACGATACAAACATGTGCAAACATTCCAATTCAAAAATAGTACTCGAGTATGTGGGCCACAGAAACTGATGCCTGATCTGTGCAACCTTATTTAGTATTGGTATATACTTGTAGAGTTACATAATAATGTGTGTAACTAACTACTTACATTCAGTGTTTGACATTTGGAGACACTCTGCATACGACTATTTCTGGTTTTCACCACTTCTGCTTAAGATAACTACGAAATATCACTGTTTCTGGATTCCACTATTTTCTTTCTCGTCTCTTAAGAAGAAAGAATATAACAATCTATGAAGTTATGTTACTGATGTGATGATAATAAAATTATTATATGACGAATATAAGAGTTATTTTTATTTTATGGGTTACTTCTTGTTTACACGAAGAAATACAAAATTGCGTATTTTGCACACCATGATAAAGGTAGCCAAATAAGTTAGTGATCAACAGCAGAAATGGTCCATACAAGAACTAGACTTTACAAGAAGTAGTCAAATCCGGAAGAGGTCATAAATAGAAAAAGATCAATGAAGAACTAGTCCTTAAACTTCAAACTCGGTGGATATTCTACAGCTATGATAATTTCAATAATCTAATATTTATTTATTTCTTCAAATGTTTTTATGTACGCATATAAAGTGTTATTATTTTTTTGTGTTACCGCTTTCTGCGATCAGTCTGCACTATAAGCAGAACATTTCAATGTCTTTTTTGGCGTGCGATATGGCTTTTTCAAAAAAAAACACTTCTCTCATTGTTCCATACTGATTTCCAGTTAATGCCTGTTTTCCAGCACACCGATAGTACATCATTTGAGTCTTTTGGTGTGTTTGATCAGTGAGAGCCACCGCAAGTTTATTAACATGGTGAAAAAGTCTGCCCTGGTAGCGCTTAGCTATAGCGTTTATTTCCTCCTTTATAGTGTTGCTTTGCAAGTAGTAGTGCATTTCTATGCTTTTCACAAACCATGGAGCATTCAGTATGGTGCGAAACACAAAGTTTTGGAATCGCTGCAGGATTTCTAGGGTCGAGTTACTCGCTGTACTCCAAAGTTCAATGCCGTAAGTCTAAATTGGTTTTAATACCGCGTTATAAATGAGAAGCTTGTTATTCAAACTGAGACGCGAGTGTCTTCCCATGATCCAAAGGAGTGAGCGAAAGCGAATATTTATTTCATCCCTTTTCTTTTTCCATGTTTGCCTTCTGTCAAGATGTATCCCCAAGTATTTAGCAACATCACATTGTGGAATTTGTTCTGTTCCAAGGTTAACTGGTGGACAATTTCCTGTCTTCAGCGTAAAAGTTACATGAGTGTATTTGGAGGCACTCGCCTTTATTTTCCATTTTTCCATCCACTGGTCAATGGTTGTGTGATGTGCTTGTAGCTTCTCAGAAGCAATTCTCGGATCCTTGCTGCAACTCAGTGCCACTGTATCATCTGCAAATGTGGCAGATAGTATTTCAGGCGAGTCAGGTAAATCTCCGGTAAACAGTATAAAAAACATAGGCCCGAGCACAGATCCCTGCGGAACACCTGCTTTTATATCGTAGAATCCGGAACGGTCTTCATTCACAACTACTCGGAACATTCTATCTTCTAAGTATGATTTGATAAGAGTAAAGTGCTATTAATTAACTTTTTTAATTATATAATAAATACAATATTCCTTATGTTTCATAACTTATGCATTACATGCTCCTTGGTTTCAACTCTTGTTGATTTTTAATTTAAGCTTGATTTTATTTTTTTCTCAAAAAGTGTTTGAAAAAGTTAATTCATTGTATATTATCTACAAACAGACATAATGCGTTCTTTCATAACCGTGTAGAGCCATGTTCACAGTAAAAATAAATATCAAAACTCACATCAAATTAACGTAGCCCATTGTGACTACACATTACTACATTTTTTAAGCACTGTAAAGCTAGTTTTATTGGTTGCTAGGGTATCGGATAAAATAATACATAATTATTCTGTTATCGCCTCCGAGATTTATTTGTCTTTACTATGTAGTACCCTCAGTACGATCAGTCAGCCTGCACACAGTTTAGAGCGTAGTAAAAAGAGGGAGGTAGCCCCTCTCTTCACCACGCCCCGCCGCCGCTGCTCATCGGTTTTCGCAGCAGAACGCGCTATCCTGTTGCGCCATCGAGCTCCTCACTTACTTTCATACAAGTCTTCTGTAAGGTCATTCATCAATCAAAGCACGCACGACTTTCATGTCTATATCGGCGACTGCTTAAATCAGGCATGCTATAAAAGACTTTAAATTGCTATGGGTTTTAGCGCAGATCTCCTCTAAGTACATATTTTGTTATCCAAGGGATTCTAATCTGGACTGCAAGTGAGCCAATCCTCCCTCACCCCTGATAAAGCCGATTCATGGGTCGCGAGCTAGTTTTGAGTAAAACCCATTTTTTGCTTAGATTTAGTTGGATATGCGCCTTCACTGCTTTGATGGCCGCTAGATCCCGAACTGTATAAGATCGATCTAACTAATCTTGAATCTTACCTGAATCTTTTGGTAGTACGATAAATAAATCTCAGTGGAATTTAAAAAGAATCAGCTTTTAAAACTCATTGGCACCCGTAATACTACCGTAATTCTAAATAGGAAATTTTGAAAGCGCCGGAATATACATAATTTATTTTAATATACCTATATATTAATTAGTTTTGATCTCCTTTATATAGTTTTCAAAAAACTACTTCTAGCCCAAGAAATAGTGTAAAGCCAAATAACTTCGCGATGGAGTCTAGCTTGAGATCGCGATGCAAATCGATGTAGAGCACGTACCACGAGCAGCCCGTGGCACCGCGCAACACACGATTTTGCAACGTTTGTAATGGTTAAAGACGTGACGGAGGTACGTGGGCGAAGCAAATATTCGCGTAGGTCATGATACGGATGCAAGTTTCGTAAATTGTCAACTTTGCCTAAGTGACAATAATGTCAATTAGGCAAAGTTACTACTACTACGCTTCCCTATGAGGTGGAATAGCCTGCCGCGAATGAATGCTGCGCGATCACGAACTATCTTGAGATGAGCTGCAAACGTCAATCGGTTGTCTAACGTGACTCCAAAGTACTTGACGCGGTTCTCCCATGGGACGATCCGGTCAAATAATTGGATGCTCGGAAGAGAATGCTTGGGAGGCGGTGTCGTGCTAAAGAGGATCGTGACGCTTTTTTCCGGATTAACCTCGATATGCCATCTACAGAACTAATCACCAAGGCTGGTAGCGGCTGATTAAAGTCTATTACAGACTGTTCCGAGACGTCTATCGGAGATATAGAGGGCGAAAAGCGCGAGATCGACCTTAGGAGTCTTGGGCATGTCGTTCGTAAAGACTGAGTAGAGGAAGAGTGAGAGTGGCTAGCCATGAGGGACGCCGGCGCATATAGGGCGGGGCGAAGAGAGCGTTCCTTCGACGCGATAGCGAAACGAGCGATTCGACAAAAAGTCCCGTATGATGAGCACGAGTTTGTCCGGCACCCCGAGTTTGCTTATGAATTAAGCTATTATGCCAGACTTTGTCGAATGCTTTCGCCGCGTCGAGGAAAAGCGCTCCTTTGGGGTTCGCGGAGGCTCGAAATATTACGCGGTAGTGGATGATCTGGATGATATCTAGATCTTACCCATGGTCACATGATATAGCAAGAACCAATGTACCGCTTTAGTACAAGATACCCACAGTGCGATCTCATATATTTTTAATTTTAGGCAAAGGTTAATGTTGCTTTAAAATTGTGTACGATGGCAGCACATAACCTCATCGTTTAATATCAGTTGAACGTCACTTACAGGTAAGTTCGTTTGACTTTCAATTATATTTGTAAAAGTTACTTAACATTTATGGTAAACAGTGATTCGCTAAGTTATACATACTTATTTTTATTTTGTTCATAGATACAAATAAATATTTGGAAAATAATTGCTATTATTGCACCATTTCCAATACCTACTAGGCTGGTAGCGCCTATCGATAGGTGGAAATACTCTTTTTTATTGGTGACCATAAGGTAAGGGAAGGGTAAGACCATAAAACCTACAACTGGTGAACGTTTTAAAAGAGAACGACACTGATGTAATTCTATATATTGGGGTGATAAAGTGATAATAAATGAGATTGCTATGGTGCTGTACCTAACGGTATGAAAATTTTATTCTATGCCTTTAGCCTACATAATATGTGCAATTTGATGATAGAATAAAAAAAATCTTAAAAGTCATTCTTCAATTACATATATTTTCACCAAATTTAAATACACACTGTAATTACGAATATTCTGCAAGAAATACTTAGATGTTCTTGCCCTGAAAGTAATGAATTCAGTGGTTCAAGTGGCGTTGTTAGTTGTGGTATTTTCGCACTGCATAATCCTGGTGGTTTTTCTAATAGGTCCCGACCGTTAAAGTAGGTTTGTTCCTTACCTAACAGAATTATACACTACTGGACTTGTTTTTTTTATTTCAGTAATTTGTAAGAAGTAAAAAAACTAGAGTGAGACAAAACTTATGGCCATAGAACAATTTGTATTTGCTCCACGTTATGGCCCGACTAGGTAGAGTACTTATACGGGTTACGTAATTTTCCCGTAACTATTTGGTTACTCAATAGAGGAGCTTCTGTAGGAGGTTCTGTAATTTCCTCGTATACACATGTGTGGTATGTGAATGTAAGCTATACTTGGATATATCTAGCGCTGCAAAAAACTGGCTATTGCAGTGAATGTTGAAACTATAATAATTAAGATCAATACTTGTGTCTAAGTTAGCCATTTCACAAGTCTAGTAACTTAATGAAAATTTTCAACTGCTTCTAGTTATTTAGAGGGATATACCTAGACGTTTTTGAGATACATCAAAGGAAAAGTGATCTTAGGCCTGACCAGAAAAATAAAATATGGAGCCCTAAAACTTGCCATGAGAGAGACTTTGCAGTGTTATCAAGTTTAAAAAAAAAGTAAAAAAAAAAACAGTATGGGGTAAACGATAACCATAGAGTGAAATAAAATACCAAATATTCCGTTTCCCTGTTCTACTATTTTTAGGTATCTTTCTATTATTATATTATTTGATTAGAATAAGGGTTAATTACATACAAGCACTTTAGACATAGGTATTTTAAGGTTATATTTCTGCCCTTTGATTATTGTGAAGTGTTTCTATAAGTATCGAAAAATATGTTTTTTTAAATAACCTTTTTCCACGATTCAATAAATATTTAAGATAACCATTTAGATAACTGGGTTTATGTTGCAAATAATATTTGTCTCATTTTGAAACCCAATATTATAATTGTATACAAGTTGAGCATTGAATCTAAAATAACCATTTCTAATTTTATGTTAACATGAATACGAAATGGAAAGACATTTGTTATAAATAAAGAAAAGCGTCAATTATTAAAGTTTTATTTTTAAACTATTTTACAATATAGAATGCATAACGGACGGATCAGATATTTAATTAAGTCACTGGGTGCTTAAACATTTTTTATAAACCTACCTAAATAATTCATTCAACATAATATAATTTTATTAATCTCAATACAAAGGGCATTACAAAAAATATTTGGAAATCACATGAAAATTCTGTAAAATATGATTACGGTTTCGTCAAAATATTAAATTTCCGAAGCGATAAATTTTTTAAACAGATTTTACTCATAAGTGTACAGAATAATAGGTATTTCTTTTGTAATAAAGTAGTTGCATCGAAATTCAAAGCCAAGCCCTATTTCTTTTTGTGATATGTTATGTAATAACAATTTAGTTATAACAATAATGGTCAAAGTTCAACAAATTTATATTTTATTAAACTATACTTTTAATAACAATATATCTTACTTATAGTCCACTGAGAATTTCTCTCACGGGTTTTATTTAATCGTCACATAATGGGGTCTTTATGTATTTGTATTATAAACCTACCCGATTTTACAGTTATAATTATAAATTGGTTATAATCATATAATACGTGATGTATATAATTTATATTTACAGAATATTTACCGATACACCTTTCAAATTGAGTATTTATAAATATAATTTATAATAAAAATTCTATTGGGTACCATTACCTACCTCTAAATTACATGACTAAGTTTTCCATTGAGGATATTTTCTTGCAAAATATTATTTCTAACGTTATAGATTATTTATTCATGTTATAATTATACATTATAATACGTTAATACAATGACTTCGATAGGTACAAAACATTTGTAATAATGCATTTTAACAAACGCGTAAAAAGTGCGTTTAACAATAATATTTCTTAAAAGAACATCTGTATTAATGAACATTTTAAATTCTTAAAATTATCTTAAAGATCACTAACATAATCGATGAATAATATACATTTTTGTTCGGAATTTTAATACTAGGTACGATCATAATGGCCTCGAGGAAACAAAGTATACTTATACTTGCCCATATTATATAAATAGGATATTCTCGTTCATTTGTCCCAGAAATACATATACAGCTTTTAACTTCAAAGTATTCTATTTACTCACAATGTCGTGTCTCGTCCGCAATGTTGTCATGTCAAAGGGGCAAAAAAAAACAAATACGCATCATTATATTTCAGTTAATGATTTATAATCTATTATGGCTTGTATTTTAGTATGGGCGGACTGTGCCGAGTCGTCCTCTAGGTATCGGTTCTGCGTAACTGTGGCGGAACTTCGTCGGCTGTCGATCAGCGAGGTCACGGAAATCCCTATAGTCTCTCTCGAAGTACCTATCCCTGTCTCCCTCTGCGTACGACTGTCGTTGGTCGTCCAGCAACCGTGAGCGACTGAAACCTCTCTGTCTGTCACTCCAGTCTCGCCTCCGGTCTTCGATCACCGGCTCAATTACCTCATCCTCGTCGATGCGGCGGTCCAGTTCTCGTCTGTCCCTTTCCCTATATCTGTCAAAATCTTCCCTGTGCGGCTTCGGTTCGATCCTGTTCAAATAATCCTCCGTACCGTATTCGTATCTTTTTACGTCGTCACGTTTCCTGCCCACTCTCGGAAGCCTCTCTATCTCTCTGTGTGCCAACTCCCTGGTGTCATCCCGGACACGTTCTTCCTTGCGCCTTTCTGGCTCCCTGTGAGAACGCTCAATATCCCTTTGAGAACGTTCAGGTTCTCTGCGGGAGCTCAGCTCTCGGTGACGTTCCTGTCGCTCGTCCCTTCTTTCCTCCTCGGGGGAAGAAGTCGAGCGACTGTTTCTTTCGAGCATGCTCCTGCGTATTGCCATATGCTGTTCTAACTCCTTATTGAATCTCTCTCTTTCTAAGTTCATGAATTTCTCCTTCGCAACATTGAAGCGATCTTTCGGAGAAGTTTCGGCTATCTTCAAGCTACCTTCGCTGGCTCCTCGCTGCAGTTTGCCGAATCTGCGTTCTTCGACTCTGTCGATGCTTCTGTTGGAAGGTTTGGTTTCTGCGACGTATCGTCGCCTGTAATTGGTGCCGTCATCTATTATTTTTTCTGGTTTTTCTTTGCTGACCCGCTCTAGGGATTCGTGGCGGAACCTTCGCTCGAAGGTGGCGTCCCGGAATGGGGCTAGTTGGTCTCGGAACTGCTCGGGATAGTCATCGTTGTAAGGGCGTTCGTAGTCACGAGGTGAGAGGGCGCGACGAGGTGGGGAAGAGCGGCGGGGCGGTGAAAGACGACGGGGTGGTGACAGACGCCGGGGTGAGGTTGCACGACGTGGTGACGTTGCGCGACGCGGCGGCGACGCGTCAAATGCCTCGTGCATTAGATACGCTGTACTCTCGGCCCAGTCTTCCTCTGAAAATTGAAATAAACATACTCGTTATTTAAAAATGAACTATAATTAGATCGAAGTTGGAAAAGTAGCATCTAAATTATATTTGTAATTTTTAAGTATGTAACTGCTAGATGTATAAATCTAAAGAAAAAATTACTAGAAACTAATCCTCGCGGTTCGTGTTCCATCTGCTGCCTGGTCCGAGTGGGATTATTTCTAGTAAAATTTCTTTAGTAACATCTAACTTTGAAACAAAACCCAAGAAAATCTGCCACCAATCGGCAATTTTGTTTTATGAGAAGAGCTCCAAGGGCATATAGGTTCGGACAGGGTAGTTCAATAGTTTAGTATCGCAAACGCTAATAAGTTATAACGACAGCTACTCATTTGTTGGTCATAATATATAGTTTTACCACCTAAATGTAATAAAAGTATAATCGCTCTAATCAATGTCTAGCTATGAACTTGAGTAAATTAAATGAGCCTAAAGTTTTTATAGATCCACTACATTTATAAGACTAGGCGGAAAAACTATTGCGACGTAAGCGTGAATATGATATCATTTGTAATTCACTTAGCCTAGAAGACGTTTAATCATATGCATGGTGTAGCTCAAACACTACTCTCAACTTGACCCAAACAACATTGAAGTAGCGTTACACGGTTAGATTGTGAAGGTATTACAAATATGTATGCGTACTTAAATACGCACGACGCAGCGCAAACATTTACAAGATACTCGTAAGTATGTGACCTTTTCCTAGTATGTCACTTTTTAAGGACAGAATAAATTTACCAACATTCAAAAGTCATGACAAAGGCAAAATGTACCTTTATTTCAAAAATAATAAAGTTTCACTCTGATAGTACTACCTATTTTTTTGTAGGTGGGTAATTAAGTATCTATATCTACGAATTAAACGTTCTGCAATCATGAGTTAGACTTCTCGCTTTTGAATACGGCTCACTTAACGGTATTCATCTGAAACACACCTTTTTCCAAACTTGTTTCTAAAATCAAATTGACATAGAAAAGAACCTGTCGGCTCCCACGTGCCACCATCTTGGAATTATTATCAACGCCATCTTACTAAAGCGCGCGCCTTTTTAATTGTATGGGATTTAGGTAACGGTGGTAAGTTTCATTTTATTGTTGTGATCTTGTGGTCTAGTTCACTTTGCACAATATGGTGAAGACAATGCTTAGTTGAAGGCTCTTTTCATTAACTGCGCTTTCTTAAGTTTTTGTTTTGGCAAAGTAATGAGCGGTGCGATTGTGTGTCTGTCTGTCTGACACTTACCACCGCTGTCACTTTCTAAGTGGAAATAAAGATCGTTAATAAAGATTTTATTTGTAATGGTACCCTAGCTATTTTATAAAAAATATGTTTTTATACAAACCATCTACTCTGGTGGATTTAAGAGAAACAGTTGAATGGTTATCTTAATGGCATATATACCTACAAGCTTGCACTACTCAAGCTTGTAGGTTGTAGGCTTGTAGGCTTTTATTATGCACCGTAAATTGGTCAGCAGGATTTTGTGAGAGCTCGTCGAGATATGTATAAAACTATTAAAAACCGCATTTAAAGCCCGTTGAAAAGTGTTTTATTTAATAAAACACACACATAGTTCATACACATGAACACATACGAAATAAATACGTTCTAATTGCACCAAAGTTCTTTATTCAAATTAAGGCTTAATCGTGTTTAAGGCATCATTCCATCTTTGTCAGTTGTTAAAAGTCAACTAGTGATAGATAGAACTTTAAACATGATAAGCTTATAAATTTGAATTAAGAAGTTATTTAAGAAGCAAGGAAATTCACTCATCATCTCATCAACGAAAGAGATGCAAATAAGGCATCGAACAATAGTATTAAGTACTTCATTGTTGTTTCGTCGAAGGTCATAAGTACATACATGATGAGATTTTCCGAACAATTGAATATTTTTTTTGAAGCTGGGAAAAAAGGGCCCAAGCTTCTCTTATATCCTTAATAACACAACATCTTTCATACACTATTGTTTTTATATGAAGGGGTCGTGAGAAATATTAAAATTTTGCTATTTAGGGGAATGTCACTTTCGTTTGTTTAATTAAGTAGGTGTTTGACTTCTTGGGTCGAATCTTTCAATTCTTGCATAAAACGTCGGTAGGTAGCTGTCGGTTTAATAAATCAAAATCAATAAGTAAGAGGTAGCACAATCTTTACCTTACAGGAGATCACAGTACAATAACACTAACTTTTGGAGGTGTTGTGTTTCTGTCGGTGAGTAAGGTTTCAGGGCTCCACGGGGTAGGGGTTTGGGTTAGGGTAGGTTTTTTTTTCAAATAAATAGTCATTGAATGCCACTTGTTAAGTCGATTCGTTCGGACTTCATCGACGTTAACAGTTATTTTACGTTTTTGTATGTACGTATGATTATTGATTTTAATTATATTTTGTATTAATGATTTTTATTTCATTTAAGTATGTGTATTTATGTATGTTTAAATGTATAGTACAAAATAAAACTAGTAAAATGTATATTTTATCAATTTGTGTTGGGTTAGGTTTGGTACACAAACGGTGCGAGTGATATTATTGATATCGCAAGCGTCTATAAGCTATGGTGTCCAATACCATCAGGCGGGCCATATGATTGTATGCCACCCGTTTTAGCATAAAAAAACCCAGTGACGATGTAGAGAATGAAAAATTGGCCCGATTTAAAGCACCTTAAGCTTCAAGTACCTACTCATAAGTAGAGTGAAAAGCATCGATAGTAACATAGACTATTTACCTTATTTATGTATAGTTCTTTATTTATTTAATTTGTAAATTTTAAACTAAGCTATATTGCTTAGGAAAAACATCTCAAGTAGGATGAATAGTCGGTTAACACACCGGTTAACCGGTCCACTGGAAGCTTATTAGTAATCTCTGGTATTAGTCTCGGAATAACATTCCTTTGGCAGTAAGCAGCACATTGAACTTGCGTCCAAGCCAGCAAGTACCTCTAGGCGTTTAATGCTTACATAATAACCCAACAAAAACAATCACCGATCACAATCTGCTGATCAAATTGTAGATTGTTAACAACTCGACTGGTTGCCAGTTGTTGACCTTCATTTGTTTCATATGAAGCGAGCATTGCATAGGTGTTAAAATAGCACTTTCCGAAGTGTTGATAATCGAAGTAGTCTTGGGAGTTAGAATGAATTTGCATTGAAAAAATGATTAAAGGTCGAAGCGTTTCAACTTGAGCCGTTCAGTATTATTTGTATGAAACTAAGGAGTTTCATAGTTCGCAGTAAGGACTGCAATGCGTACGTTATCTGAATCGTAACGTATTCGCCTCGCCTAGGGATACGAGCTTTTTCGATGCGACCATAAGAGCGCGGTAATCGAATTCTTCATCGATTACCGCGCCAAAGCTAAAATTGACAAATGGGAATTTTGATTAAAATATATATTTTATTTAATTATACTCGCGGCCGCGCCCGATTACTTCCGCGTTAACTTTAGTTTTTGAAAATCAGTCAGGAACCTGATATTTCCCGGGATAAAAAGTATTCTGTTTTTCAATTCAGGTCATAAACTATACGCGTGCCAAATTTCATCCAAATCCATTCAGTAGTTTTTGCGTGATTGAGTAACAAACATACAAACTTTCACATTTATAATATTGCGTTTTATAAGATAATTTGTAAATAATAACACAAAGTACGTAAACGCATAGTGATAAGTTGATCTGCCATTATTTTAACGAAAGAAATTCCAATCAAGTTAAGTATCAATATTCCTGTTACCTTTAACCTTTACGCTAATCCGTAGCTATACACGACGAGTAGCATACACGATTTAAGTTACCTTATATGATCTTGATGTCTCGTTAAGAATTGTTCACTAGAAGAATACAGTCATTTTTCAAAGACCTAAATAAAAAAACGGGACATGTGCGAGACGGGCTCGCCCACCGAGGGTTATACAAATGTTTTGGTAGGTACTCAACATAAACACCCGTTTTTTTACGTTAACTTAGAAGTTTGATTTTTTCACCACTGTTTAAATTTCATCGTCAGTCAACGGATTAAATTTCATCTCGATACCTTCACACATTCCCGAGATAAAAGGTCTTGATAGACAGACATACAAACGGCCGTATCTTTTTTTAAATTAACTGAGAAGTTTATTACTTCACAGCTTCAAGGGACCGCAGACCAGGGTTATATGCTTTAAATTTCAACTCGATACCTCAACGCATTCCCTAGTTAAAAGGTCTTGACAGAATTCGGACAGACGGACAACACAGTGATCCTACTCGTATATGGGTTTAGCTTTTTTCTTTAGAGGCATGGAACCCTAAAAGCCGACCAAGTTTGAGTTGGAATAGCAGATTTTGTAGACTTGCAAAAAAATTGACAATAGATCTAGCAGAGAAAGGTAGAAAAAACTACATTCCTTATATTTTTATACTGTTTATCGCTAATGTCGCTATAGCGGGCGGCTATTGAAATACTCGTTCTCTCTGGGATAATTTCAAATGTTTACTATATAGGGTTAGGGTTTATTTAATTCAGCCTTGTGACCGATGGACACACTTAGTAAAAGGTCTCAGTTAGAGTAGTAAGTCGTACCTTTAAGTTACGGAATTCTAAAAAGAAGAAAAACATTGGTGGGCTTTGAACTCCATGGATTTGGTTCAATAGCGGTCGCTCCCAAAAAGTAATTGACGTATATGAATACATGCTGATTTGTTCGTAAGTCTTTTTCCATCATAACCGCATTCTTCTTTATCATCATTTATCTTCGTCATTAGAACTTAATTACAAATTAATGATACGCTATGGGATAATCATTTTGTAATACTGGCTTGTTCTGAACGAGATACGGTTATTAATTCAATTTGCTGCGTTCATCTTTTTTAATATGTAATTCATACAAGTGTATAGGCTAGGTGTACCATAATCTTGAAGCATTATACCGGGATAGGGGGATGAAAACCAGATGACTGAAAAAAATTTGGTTGAT